TACACATTTGCTTTTTCGCACTGCACGAGCTTTGGCAAATTGAATCTTACGTAATGCCATATAAATCGAGCCACCTTCATATGAAATTCACTTACAACGGCAGCCAGTGGCAAAGAAAGAATTGCAATCGAAATTACTTTTAGCTCTCGGACGAGAAATTCAATTTGCATTCAGGGCGGCTGAAAATGTGGGAGGTGTGTGATGGGTTGATGGGGTTCCATGATGGCTGTCGATGCATCATCAGTGCTCAAGTATCTGAACTTCTCTGGCTCCGGAGGTTCAGCTACCCGGCTCCTCCTCCGCCCCCATCAATTATGCTACGAATTTCTTTATTACAATTATCTCGTTGTGCTCTTGGGCCGCCTTTCGCATTGTTTCCCTACCATCATTATTGCACTCATGTGTGGAGGGCTCTTCACTTTTTACTTCTCAATTCTTTCCCTTTTTTTCTGTTGATGAGCAAGTGATACGGCAGTCCCTGGGAAATTGGTTTTAATTTTGCAACTTGACGTGGCCGGCACTTGTCGTGGCATTGCCTTCTCTTCTCCCCCCTAGGTTTCCTCTTCCTCCGATGTCAATGTCTCGATTCTCGTTTTCAGGTGTGCTCGATTTAATGAATGAAGATTACAGGGGGCCATGCGTTGGCTCAGATTTATGCGTAATGATATTCAAACAGGTTATTTATTGACTTAAGCCTTAAGACTCTGGCTTCGACTTCAACTGACTCTATTTGCTTTCCTTGGCAAACAACTGGATAATTAACGCATCAAATGCAGACAAGCCAGTTCCGTTGGGACCTATCGAATGGGATAATTATGTTACGCTTCTTATGAGTCACTAAAAAAATGATCTAAAAACAAATTTAATAGGATCTTAATTAACAAATATGTTTCCCATTCTGATAAACTTTTCATTAATTTTATGATTGGTATTTTACTGCTTTATATTTTTTAATTTTTACAAACCCTGTGTTAAAACTTTATTATGCGAATCTTCGAATGACATAAATATGTTATTTCTTAAATTAAAGAAATATTAACAACACATTAATAATACGAATCAAACTTTATTATCAACTATGAGTTAAGTTATTTCTTAATAACGATATTATTTTTTTTAATTTTGTATACAAAACCTATCCTAATACATCCAGAATCAAGGGGTATCAACAATGACCAAGTCTGATGCAGAGGTAGAACACGTAAGCGCCGTCACACTTGAGCAGCAGAACCAGAGTACCAAGACAGTCGGACGGACGGAGATCTCAACAGGAGACGAACGACGAGCAGGTGTTCCAACTTATTCATTAAAAACAAAAAGGAAACAGACAGAGACAGGCAGGAGCACTTGCATAAGGGGTTGACGTGGGGACGGAACCTGGGCCAACACCCAGTGCCAGTTTCTGTCAAAGTCTTAAGTTAGCACTGAGAGAAGACCTTCCTGAAGTTCCTAAAATAACTTTGTAAATATTACAATATTATAATAATTAGAAAAATAACAGATAGAGTTAAAAGTTCATTCAAATTTATTTTATTAAACTTATATTTCTTTTTAAATTTTCAAATATTTTTTTCAGTGAACTCCTTGTTGTCTCGAAGTTTTTCGCCTCCTTCAGCCGCTTCTTTTAGCTGGTTAAGATTGTGGTCGACACGCAATTGCGGCAATTTGAAGTTGGATGCGCTCACTTCGCTCTGCCGGGCCAACGATGCGAGGCAAAAGCCAAGCTAAACGCTTAGCATCCCCTTTCCATCCAAAGTTCCCTCTTTTAACCTCGCCAATACCAAAGAACACACATCCGCCGCAGTCCATCCTGGCAAGTTTCTTGCGGCAGCGACAACTGGCAACCTGCAACTTGCGACTGGTGAGCAGCAACCAACAACTTCAAACTAGCGACAGCACTGAGAAATTAAAAGTATTTTCGGAAAAAGCAAAAACAAATTTAACTTTATACATCTCATCTTTTTGCATTTTTGATCTTCCCGTTTATATATATAAACTAAAATATTTTTTTATTAGATACAATATTTTTATATAGATCTAAGATTTTCTTTCTGTGCATCAACTGGCTGCATCAACTGAAACCGAAGCCGGTTTCGGGTGTGTTAACTTTCTATGCCCGGTAGCGCTGATTGCCAAGACAACGACAGCCCAATTCATTCAGCGATCTCGCCTTTCAGCGGCAGCAGCTGCTCGGGGTTCCTTCAGCCACTTCCTCCCCTTTGTTACCAGTTTTGTCCTCCTGGATAGCCATGCAAAGCTTGGCCAGAATCTTGAATCTCTGCAGGCTATTCCAGTTCGATTTATCACGGGCAAAGTTATGATCGCTTAAGTGCCGCCGTTTAGGGTTCCTGTTTTAGCCTCTTCAATTGCTCCTCATAAATTCTTCTCATGACAACACTAATTGCAACTTGCTCGAAGTAATAATGGGTTGGGAATAATTCTTGATGCTTAAACTGTAATAAATCCAATTGGCTTACGTAGATCTTGATTTTCTTATCGGTCAATATAGTGCATACTTTAAATAAGTTCATGGCAAGTTATTTTACAGTCTTTAAACGGCAGATAAATGTCTAGTTGAATTATAATTGTTATACAATGAATTTAAAATTTATACTTAAATTATACTAATTGTCATAGAAATCTCTACAATGCTCTTCAGTTCACACTTTCGGCGACCATCAAAATCATGTTATTGGATAAGCGTATTTGGCAGCCCATAATTGCTGGCAAATTAGAATTATTTATGCCATCCGTGCAGAGTTACTAATTCATAATCGATGTTTGGTATGCGTGGAGCATAACACCGAAATAAAACCACAAAATAATGTACACAAATATGTATGTGCAGTATGAAGAGATCGTTTCTATGCTTTGGCTGTGACGGAAGTCTGGCCCCACCGAATAGGAACTAAATATTTATGTACAGACCCACGCAACTCTTTCAAAAAGAGGCCATAAATATTGTTCATTTGTAAATAAATGGCCAACAAAAAAAGAAAAAAGAAAAACTACGAATAGTGAAAAACCCAACAACTCACAGAGCATATAAAACATTGTTCATGTTCATTTCTAGTACTTGGTTTCTGTTTCCTAGGCAAACATTGGATGCCGTTCTATGTCGCTGCGAGTGTCTATATTTTTTATTACAGTATCATCTTCCGGTCACTTTGTCAGGCCTCCACAACATTTCTCAAACAGTTACGACGAGACAAGTGGCCCCAGCGCGTGTGCCTAGTTGGGTTCGAACTTGAATTATTAAAACCAGAAGCGAAGTCTAAGAAGTAATAGAAATTCGTCCGATAAGCGGAAGTCGAATAGACAATGTCGAAGCTTGGATGGTTACCATCTAAGGTCTACACTGAAACTTATGTGTTCGGAATTTTATAATTTTTATTTAAAAAAAAAAAAAAAGGAAATAAGGTTGAAATCTCTTTTAGGAAGGTTTCTTAAACTGTAAGAGGTAGGAAAGAACGTATGCTTAAAAAGTAATTCCTACCTATTACCAGTAACTCAATACCTCACCGCCTAGTTTACCGCTTACCAACACCACTTAAAAGCTGTTCGCGCAACTGCATTAAGTTCAGTGCCTCTGGAAAAGCCGCCCCCAGAGGAAAGCTCTTTGCCTTAGAGTGACCGGTCCCATGGCTCAAAACAGCCGCCCCCCTAACACCCATCACCGCATTTACCAACCCAATCGCCCACCTACACACGCGCCGCATCGCGTTGCGCTTTGAATATAAATTACACAAATAGTGCACACGACTTTGATGGCTGCAGCCGGCGACATTGAACGCCCCATACGTTGCACAGTGGTTCCAAGCCATAATTCATAATCTAGTGAAACAGTTAAGAATAAGCTGCAAGGAAATTTATAAGTTAAATATTTATAATTCAGATACGAAATTGTTATTACTACAAAATGATTATTTCTGGTATTACTCTTGGAAAACCGAATGCATTGATTTTACTTTCTTATATAAATAAATACTTTCTTTAGTTAGCTTTTAGTACTCTATTTGTTGGGATTGCTTTTTAATGTAAATTATTTATTTAGAAATTAAATGTACAATTTGTTGTATGAAGTATAACTCTTTAAAAAGTTTCTTTAAAAAAGTAAAAATCAATTGGACACCCTGAAAACCAATGTGCAGATCGACTGCCAGGAGCGCTGGTCATGTCACCGTTGCTGCCCTTTGATGCTAATGACTCTGCTATCGCCTTAAAACCCGGGGATCGGCTTCGATGGGGGAATGACAGCGCTCTGAACTTAGCGGGCAATCAAAAACCGTGCTGCAGCAAATTGGCATGCGTGATGTAGATGAATGGAGATGCAGCATTTCCAGCTATACCGGCGAGGGAATGTTTCTGAATGAAGTTTCTATGGGAGGGGGGCGGAGTTATGTGGGACAAGTGATTTCCGCAGTGCTTTCTGGATCGCAGAGGGCGGCTGCGTTGATTGATTGATTAATTGACAAAGGAATTGCCGTTAGTTTTCCATTTCCATTTCCATTTGCATTTGCATATCTAATTTATGAACGGCCCAAGTCTTGTCCGCTCGTATGTAGTTCATTGTGTTAGCTATGCAAATGCTGTACTTCCGCTGCGAGCGTCTGCCCAACGCAGCTTAATTATTCATTAATTTCAACTTAAATTCCATATTTGCGCCTGCAGCCATTTGTGGCCCAGTTTCGATGGCCTGCAGGGGCTTTTGTCCATCCGCAGGCTTTTGTCACCATAAAACTGAAGTGTTGCCCGATTATGAAATAATTATAAGCAGACTGCACGCTCTAACCGGTAATTTAGGGGGCGTTTGCATTTGGGTTTTGATTCAACTTTTCAGAGAGAGAGAGAAGGAAAGAGTTCATTGTAAATGATACTCGTTTACACTGTGCCAAAAAATATTTCTAAAAAGTAAGACAATATATATATTTATAGCAGAGAAAATGTTTTCAAACCTTTTTGTTTAAAACTAATTACAACTATATTCGTACCTCATATACTTCTTTATTCCCTACAATTTTTTGAAATTTGAAATTTGTTTTAACTTTGAATGATTTAAATGTAAACTGCAGGTTAGTATAATAGAATGCGTCGATAGTAAAATGCTATTAACCAGTTCTGTTTAGAGCTTTGCGCATATCGGGCATCTAGTTGGCCTTTTCCATTGTGCTCTAATCCCCATAGTAATGGGAAAATTTTCGAGCCTCACATTATCCCAAAATTGCACCCAGTGAGAAATCTATGTAAATTCACAAAATCTATAAAGTAAAACCGACCTGACTCCGTCCTGAAATTTGTTTCTCGTGGAGGAGCTGCAACATGCCGTGCATATTTAATCCCGGCTACATTGGACCCGATCCGCCCTGCTGTGACCCGGATTGCTTGGAGGAGGGGCACTGCACTGTTCCAGAGTGTGGGGTTTGTCCGGAGTCCAAGTTACCCCGTTGCAATCCCGCCCGAGAGACTGAGGAGAAGGCACCGAAACAGAAGACCGTAAAGGAGCAGAAGCGGTAGAAGTATCACTATGGAGAAAAGAGGGCGGAGTAGTGAGGAGCTTATAACAATAGACCTTTTGTCGTTCGGAGATGTTCCTAACTAGCTACACAAAACTTATTTCGTTATATGGCTCATGATTATACATATCACCTTGACTTCAAATACACTTAAATGACTTAATTAAAAATCGTTATTATCTTCCCTGACAACTCGATGCGTTTTTGTGTTCTTATTTATTTTTAAAGGAATTACGAGGAAGATGTTGTTTACGCGTGTAGCATATTGACATCATATCATCAAATTAAAATATTTTCATGTTAATAATATAAAAAGTGGTTATATTGCTTATAGTTAATAGGTAGCAAAAGTGGCAGCTAAGTATATAAAGAATAAATTCAAATAAGCATGCTGAAATTTAAATGTCAACAAAATTGAATGTCGACTTGTTTAGTTGAAATTCAAACACAACACATGTAGTTTCGGCAAAATATCGGTTTAAAATTTTTCATTTTTTTTTTGGTAAGTTGTTTACATTAAAAATATATAAAATTTTTTAATAGATAATCCTTGTAGGCTTTCGTGAGGTGTTCAAAATGGTATATTTAAGCCGCCCTTGGACACCTGCCGTGAATCCTTTCTACATTGGCCCCTACCCAAGATGCGCTGTTTGTCCCTGTGACTTTGACATTTATAAGAATTATACACCTGGTGGATGGCATAGTCAGTGCTACAGAAGTTATTAAGAATGAAGCACTACACAAAAGTGAAGAACACAATCAAGGAAAACACTGAAATAACACCATGTAAAACAAATAAAATAAAATGAAACTCCAACTAAATTAATAAAAAACGCGGAGAATTTCTGTAATTAGAAAACATCCTTACTTCTTTTTAGATTAAAAGACCTAGAATATCTGATCACAATGGTTTCAGATGTTTTAATCCCTTGCTTTTTGTATCATAAAATCATTTTACTTTCTGTCTGAAAACAACTGTTTTTTCCAAATTCAAAATTAAAAGTTGCCTTATACAACCCTCATGCCGGCTTCTGTGGATCACGTGGTGCACCATGTACTGGCCCCAATGGCAATTGATGCCCTCGATTGCATAGTACCAGTCGTCCGGAAACTGGTGATCATCCTGCATGAATCCTTTGTGGTTGATCACCAGGAACTGGAGCCCGTGATCGATGTATCCGGCGTGATTCAACCCGTACATAAAATAGTTTTAATAGTAAATGATCCAACGCCGCAATATGTAACTGATCAGGAGACGGTGGTCAATTCGGAAGAAATTAGGGGCTTATTGAGAGAAATATCAAGGGGCATTCGTAATCTGGCTCTTTCGACCTACAACACCATCTCGGCTCTATCCGAATAGGTGTAGAGTAGCCCTTGAAGTAGTTGTCAGCCGGGCTATTCGAAAAATCCGAAATCTCCCGCCCTGATCCCACTGAAGATTCAGCAGTGGCTGTTCCATCTTTGGAGCCATGGAAATGGTGCACACCGCCATCGGCGTAGCAGGCGTAGTGGCCCTCCTTATGGTGGTGACGTCTTCGGCAAGGCAAGTGGGTGGCTTGTTGTTGGACCAATCCCGTGACCCAATCTGCGAACTAGTGTCTCGCGGTGGTCCAGTGGTGGATCAGTTGACGGCCGTTGAGGGAGAAACTCCTCTGGTGGAGGGTGATCGTATGGATGGCGCCTGCTCCGTGGTCCAAAGTTTTGGAGGTAAGGTAGGTGCCTTCGTGGGACCATTGTTGCCCAATTTAGGGAGCTGTCGGAAATCCGGAGATTCCCCGAAAGAAGAGGAAAACGACAATAAGGACTCGGAACCGGCACCTGCAAAACAAGAAACACCACCTGAAGCTGATCCACCGGCTGAGGATCCACCGGAGGAGTAATAAGTACCTATCAACAAAGGGAGTCCGGATATGAAATAAGGAGCTTCCGAATTTAAAGACCTAACCAAATTTTTAGTAGTCTCAAGTAGGCCTTGGACCCAAACTTCACATTTTTTATCGGCTTTGTGTGGCTCGAAACGAATAGAACACATTCATTTTTAACAGCTTGGACTGAACACATCTCCTTCCTTCGTAAAATAAAAATAATATGAAAAACTAAAAAAAGTTCTAAATTCTTAGCCAAGGAATAACTTTGACATATTTCTTCAGCAGTAAACAAAAGTTCGTGTAAGTTATTCGGTAAAGCGGTATAAACGGAAAGTTATATAAAGATTTGTTTAAAAATTGCACGCGATGTGAAGTGAATTTTAAAGCGGTTTTATAAAAAATATCTTTTTCAATTTTTTTTGGCAGCTTGAACCCCATATTCGAAAAGTGATTCGTGAGTGTCCTTCGGCAAATCTAAAACTTTCAAAATGGTTCTGATGCTCTGCTGCAGTTTCGATCCCTTCTACGTGGGACCCTGCCCACCCGGCTGCCTGGCCCCTCTGATGGGAGGCACTCCTCTTTGTGGCTGTGGTCCCTGTGGGGGTTGCTGCAGCCCCTGCTGTGGTTGTGGCCCGTGTGGCGGTTGCAGCTCGTGTCCCTGCGGTTGGTAAAGCCCAAATAAAAAAAGGCCGATATAATCTCCGATCATGGGTGAGTTATAGATCAAAAATGATTCGATAAGAATTCTTTCAAAAATTTATATTATCCCCAGCATTAACCCGGCAATACAAACATATGAATATTCCACCAAAGACTGCTGGAGAGATATGTTGCTGTTCGTAATCCTTTCCTTGGCGGGGGGCTTAAACACCCAAGCTCTCATTACATAGTATTTTCCGATTATTGCTGTTCATAAATAAAATGAAATTTTAAAAACCAACAACATTAAAATATATTTAAATATGGGGAAAATTATACGAATTCTTGTATAAACATGGGTAGGCAGCTTCCACTTATTCGGCTGCATGGACGCCCATAAGGATGCACATGTTGTCCTAGGTAAGGGTCTCGTCTAGAACAGCTGTTTGGCCAGAAGGATAACTGCGCAGACGCGTATCGAGCTCACAACTCGAACCAAAACATAGAATGTAGAGCATTGTGCCAGGTCAAAGATTTGTTGGGGACTGTTCCGCCCGCTTTTCCTATTCCATCTGAAAAGCGAAACTGAAACCGAATCTGATGCCTTCAGATGCTATGTTTTGTTTTGGCTAAGCGCGATTTATAGCGCCGTATCTGAGGTCTGAGGTGTCCCTGTGTGCGTTATGCTTCCTTGAGGTTTTCCGAGGGGTGTGATTCCTCTTACTCCAAACGTCTGTATGTGTGTGTGGGCATTTCACTCTCATTTTGGCATTGCTTGCGTTGTTTTTCCCGCGGAATTTATTGCGGTAGGTCGGAATTTTCATTGCTTTGGTGAGGTCCCCCTTTTCTGTGCTTGCCGTGGCATGAGTGTGAGCGTGGCTTTGTGTCATGTTTTATGGCCAAAGTTGCCTGTCTTCTTATATTTGACTTTTAGTTTTTTAGCTGAAACTTTCCGAGTGCATTGTCGTCCCTGTGAGGCTGTAGCACTTAGGATAAGTTCCTTTTATTTTATATTGTTGATAGAGCAACAGTTTCTCCAGGTGTTATACATTTAGTAGCTCAGCTTACAATACGCTGGCAGTTTTTGAAGTACTTATTAATAAAGTATAAAATACGAATATGCATACAAAGATACATGAAAGTCCTATAAAATTTTACATGAAAATTTGATGATATTCGTTGAATTCAGCTCGGCATATCGGGCAATTCTTTGTTGAGCGATGGCAGAGAAGCATGCAGGCTTTACAGAATACATGCCCACAAGAGATGGACACCGGTTCTCTATAACGGACATCTTCAAGGCACACCGGGCACTTGTAGGGCTCGGTATCCCTCACATCGGGCTTGGCCCGTTTGTTTTCTACCGAATTATTGGTATTTGGTCCATTAAGAGCACGTTTGGCCGTTGTAGTTGAGCGCTGGGAAGCTTCGACTCTGATTGGACTGGATCTAGGCGAAGAATTTAAATTGGACCAGAAATTGTTTTCCGGCAAAGGTCTTGAGGCCGGATCATTGACGGTGGGATTAGAGTACCTCGACAGAGAACTAAAGTCGAACGGGGTACTGAGGCGAACAATATCGAGTATTAACGAAGAACTTGCCGAAGAATCGGAGTCGGACGAAGAACTTGAAGTCGTAAAAGAACTTGAGGTCGACGAAGAACTTGAGGTCGACGAAGAACTTGAGGTCGACGAAGAACTTGAGCTCGACGAAAAACTTGAGTTCGACGAAGAACTGGAACTGAACGAAAAACTAGGTGGACTAAGAACGTTAGCTGACATTGAAAATGCAAATCAACACACAGACCTGTCGCTAGAGTCCTCGCTTGAGCTTGTCCAGTAAGTGGTAGTGGTGGAGTTGTCTGAGTTGGAACTGTCCGAGTCACTTGAATACTCCATTTAAGATAGGATAAGTTCTTAAATTAAAATAAATTCAGTTTCTCCCAAAGTAAACTGACAGCTAAGACTAAATGTCAAAAAATCCTGAGGGCACTAGAAGTAGCACAAATAATTACATTGGAATTCTATATGGTCACACTACATATATTATATATATATTGTCTTTTTCATCAAATACATTATGTATGTATACATTTACAAAAAAATACAATTTTATTACAAACAAATTCAGAGCATATTTTATATACCTAATAATTAACTTAGATTTTTTAATAGTTATGTATTGCCAAACTCAAAAACTTTTCAAATACCCTAAAAAAAATGTTATAGAACAAAATGGGCTTTTAGATTAACAAATATTGGTTTACAAAGTATCAAAGTTAAAGATCGGAAGTCTGGAGTAAGAAACATAGAATCCCGAAGTAAGCAGCGAACCTGCAACATGTTGCAAGTGCCACTCGGATTGCTTCGAGCAGTTGGAAGCTCGAGCCGCGTTCTCGACTTCGGATTTAACTACAGCGCGCTTTCGGCCGTCTTCAGTGTTCGTTATTTATTCGGAGAGTGCGGTTTGCTACTCGATTCAGTTCACTCCGCTCTAGTTGTTTTAACGTATTTAGTCCGTAGGATTGCCGCAGATCTGGCAGATAAGCAAAGACTTGCCCACAAATCAGGACCTAAATCCTGAAGACCAAAACCTAATTGAATTCGGGCGAGTTAATTGGCAGCCAAAGTGTTCCCGTTGTAATGATGGTGCCATTCATCTGGCATTTAATTTAGTTCCGTTTCGCTGATCGCATAGCTGTGCAGGAGTTTGTAATATTTGATTAGTGCGCGTTACCAAAAAATAAAACAGAAGCCGGGAAAATCAACAGAAAGTACGGTTCATTTGCTAAATACACGGGACCATTCGAGTTTTCCCACTCAATTTAAGAGTGGGTGTGTGTGTTTGGTGTACTTGTGTGTGTCTATGTGCTCAGTGAGTGTGTAGCGAATTTCATTTATTGGCAGCCAGCAACTGATTTGAATATTCACCCTCACACACGCCAGGATCTCCGTTGCCAAAATACTAGACCAGATTGTGGCTTCTTTAGGCCAGTGTTTGAGTGTGTGTGCAGCATGATTTATAGGTCCTGCAGCAGGCGTGATGTAAAGTGACAATTTCTGGTAATTTTCGATTTACATGCCGTTGTGCATTGGGTAAGTTTGACGGAGGATTCCTGAATTTTATTTACAATGCTTAGATTGCATTACCTGGAATTAATTTCATGCGTAAATTCATTGTTTGGGCTTGGGGCAATGTTGCAAAACGAAGAATGTGAAAATGATTTTCAGTAATGCACAAACTAAAAGTGCAATATTAGTGAAATATTAAAAAAATTTTAATTTTCTAATCGAGTTTTAAAGGTTATTTTATGTTTAGAGATATATTCTTTATTAATACTGTGATAGTTTTTCCAACAATTTTTTATTTAGTATTTGGAATTGAAAAAATGATAGTTGCAAGATGAAATTTCCTTCAATAGTTTAATAATTATTTTTTTTTATTAGGCATTATCGATGTTTTTACCGATTGAACCTTTGAATGAAAATCTAAAAAAAAACGATTAAAAAACTTTTCTTTATACCAAGAATATTTTTATTTATTTTCCCTGGAAATGCAAGGTACATAGGAAGTCACCCATGGGCTGTGATTGATTTACACCTGCTCGAATGACTTGGCAATCAGAAACAGCAGAATAAAAACTGCCTGCGGACTCACGATCATATCAGATAGCTTCTACTTCCGCTGTTAGAGGGTTTCCTATTTAAAGCGGTTTCCTCAAAAAAAGTAATTTACCTAGAAACTAAAAATAAATGGCTGAGTCGAATAAATCAACGAGTAACTACAGTTATAGTATCGATTTCTACTTAATTTCCTCTCAAGCATAAAATTAGCGACCATAAATATCGCGACATTAGGCAAATTTTATTGGTTTCGGACGGCCGAGGATGATATTAATGGGTACCATTAATATTTAATCCTCGACAACAGGTTTCGCCAGCGTTAAGGACGAAAAGAATTCGTAAGAAATAAAACCATCCATCCAATTATTTGGCAGAAGGCGAATTAAAAACTTTTTTCAAACTGCACCTGTGTCTAAGGAATTTTTAATAAAATCTCTCAAAGAAGTGGTAAACTCAACAAAGCCATTCGTCATGCTCAAGTAACTTTGGTATTCGACTTTTTTGGGATTTCTCCCCTTTATATTTTTTTTTGCTGGTCAGCCAACCAGTTTGGCAACATAATTATGCACCCAGTCATGCATCTGAGGACACCGTCGGTGGCCAAAGGGTTGAAAGGACCCTTTCTTCCTCTATATATGTAGGTACATTTAAATTTGGGTCACTTGCGGCCGAAGCAAATTGTAATTAAAATATAAAATTTCCACGAAGCCATACAAAATTTCACTTTTCATCTTAATCATAATAATAATAATCGCAAAAAAATACAAAAAAATGGCATATATAATGGAACAAAGCCAAACTCATTTTCACTTTCGCGGCGGCCTTGACGGGTTAAAGAGTCCTGGCTGTGGGAAATTATCGTCATCAGCCGCAGGATTCCTAACCACCATCATTATCGTCTGCTGGTCTGCTTTGCATAATTTCATACATAAACTCTCGTTTTTTGTGCGCATAATCTGCAGCTTTGATGACAACAAAATAGGAGAAAAAAGTGAAAAAAAAATAATGCGGAGTGTGGACTGAAAGGTGTCATACACCACACCCTCGCACACACTCACACTCTCTAAAAAGTGGGTGTGCTAAATGTTCGAAAAATGAAGCGTTAGAAACTTGGTAGCGTTACGCATCCGCCATGTTGTGCGTCAAGTGGCGAGGATTACGCCACGGTGCTCATATAGTTAATGACATGCAGCTGCTGTTTTACTTGCGGTTTCAGCCTGACGCCTCAGTAAATTTTCCTTACCCGTACTCCCCCCTGAACAAACAAACTTATGAATTTTAAGGTGATTTCCATGTCGCAGGACCAAGTTCACAGAACTTTCGGGATGGGTATCCTTAAGGGATTGGGTCGAGGTGGCTCGTCACATCGGGGACTTGTCAGCAAAGGGTTGATCGCATCATAAATCAAACGAACCTGTTAGCCCGGCTCGCAATCAAAATCATTCTGCGGTCTCCAGCATTTGTTTCCTTCGAAAATAGTAATTAATCATCGAAAGTAATTGGTTTTCTGTTTTGATTTGACATTTGAAAAATTGCAGCTGTGACAATTCAATCCCAGTTCCGTTTATTTGCCTCCGATTCGCCCATTCTGTTGGCTTTCCAGTCCACAGTGTTGCAAAACAAATGCCAAAAGTTTATTTTCTTTTTTTTTTTTTGTTTGCCAAAGTGAAACGGTGACCTATGCAAATGTATAAATGCAAATTAAATATAAACGAACACATAAATGCGGCTTAAAAAATATTGCCCCGCAATATTTCCGAACATTGGAATTAATTGATGAAAAAGTTGCGAGCGTCCTTGAAGTTATTGTTTTTTGCATGGCCATTGATTGGCAATATTGCAGTAGGTCTGACTTTAATGGAATTATGTCGCTAATTTAATGATTACAAATTGAATACTTTTTGGTTGCGCTCTCTGAGTTTGGTTTATGAGTTCAAGCGTTTACTAAACTTTTCAAACAACCCAAATAAACTCAGAAATTAAACTAAGACGCAAATAAAGTTTGGCAAGGAACAGCCGCGATGTCGGCACTTAAAACTTCTCAAATGCAAATAATACCCAGCGAATTTCTTGACAATAAAAAATTATTAAAAAAGCGTTAAAGTCTTTAAAGGGAATTATGCCCCACAGAAGCAGACATAAACTCAACTTTGTGCTTCTTTCTTTTTGGGGTTCCACTTCAAAAGGAATAAAACGGAGGCACAAAAATATCCACACAAAAATACACACAAATTCCCAGTCTTCGGTGACTTTGTTTTGTTTGCCAAGTCTGAAAGTGGCTCTCGTGGTCCGCATTTGTGTTTTGTTTCAGATTGTTTCGAGGATGAGAGCTCCACTGCTAACTCAATAAAACAACTTATGATATTTTTTTCAAGTGGCGTCGTCGTGAACAGAAGCATCGCATAACGCATGTGCTTGCTATCATATTGAAGTTTATTTTGAAATTTTATGACCGCGGAATAAAAGGGGCATTAAAGAGTTGTTGATTGAAATGCGGTTGACATCATAACAAAATATATCGAGTATTGAAATCATTTTTAAATTGTTCCTAAGAGCTTTGGTTTTTAATTGCTAAAGTTTTAGATATTTCAGACTATCGAAATATTATATCACCCAGGATATCTCGTATTCGACCTTTTTCGTATCCGAATATTCTGTTTACTGCCACGTGCTTCTTATATTTTACTTCTCAATTAAATACCACTTTGCTCGTCATGAATGCGCATTTTTTGCCGCTGCACATAAATATTTATGCGGGACTTAATCAAAGGGAAAAACATGGGTCTGCGGCTTAAGCCAGCTTTGGTCCTTCCTGCCTCTAGTCTCCTTTCATTACGTCTGTTCTATTTGCGCCAGATCAACTCATTTCTGTTTATTTAAACATTAAATGTGCTTACATTTGATTAGCGGCCCGAGTTTATTTTCATATCAATGCGATTCGCCAGATCTCTCTGGTTGGAAGGCATATAAAATTTATGTGTTTGCCTTGCTTTTAATTTGCTTTCATTTTTATTTTTTGTATGGCCTGTGTAAATTTCCTTTTTTGGTTTTGAGCTCATTACAATTTCTTTTGGGTAATGGTAGCTGTCTTTTATGTGGGCAGTCGCATTAAAATGCATGAAATGCGCAATTAAAAAAGAGGACAAAGTCCCTTTGTAGATGGCAACGGGATACAATTTCCTTTTAATTAAATATGTAAAGGCTTTTTCATATTTAAGCACATATCGATGCTTAATTAAAAGCACTTTGTGTGTTCAGCCCATTACGCAAAAGGGTTTTTATCATTTGATGAAAGCGGGCTACTTT